GGCAAGGTGCCCACATTGATGGCGGAAGAAAGCTGTATTTCTCTATTGTGTCTTTTCCTGCCGAGAGGCGAATATAGCAGATGTTTCTTGATGTTCGTCCATGTGTCGGACTCTTCGATACTCCAGTATGTCTGTTGCCTTTTGGTCGAGTTCAACGAGGTGATATGGCGGAGGTAAGCATGGCTTATCTGGGCAATCCGACCACAGAAGACAACAAACGCGATGGCAAGGACGGAGACGTAGATAATACGCGTGATAATGACATCTCGGGGGACGTTGACACCACCTAGCCCTCGTGAGAACTCGTAGACGTACGTGGCATTGGTCCCATAGCCTCGCGGGATGATGTGCCGACGAAGATCATCCATCGAAAGTTGGGGCACCCTATGGCCAAGAGTAAAGTCTGATCGTTGAAGTTGGGATACTATAATGAGTTCAGATAAAACGAGGGTGAATCAAGGGGTGATAAAGGATTGCCGATGGTCAAAGGCCGAGTCTAATTTTGTCGACCCCTCGGATGGAATATGACGTGGTAAAGAATGTTGGATGGCGGAGGAACAAGTGGAATGCAGCAGCCCTTCGCTGATTGAATGCAACAATGTTTTTATATTGATGATGCGTTGCGGGTGTTACCAGGCTACCGCTTTCAGTGTTTGTTCCAACAATTGGATTGTCCGCAAATGAAAGGCACGTTCCTTTCAAGAGTGATTGTATCTCAGTTGGACAAAAGATATTTGGATTCTCCAGTGAATTCAAATCTAAGGCACAGTCAGTTGACATCAGCAGCTATCCGGCCTTCGAAATTTACTTACTCGCATCCTCCTACATGCATAGTCTAAATCAAGGAGTCCAGCAAGGGGCTAAAGGACGCTCAGCGTCAAACGACAAATAAAGAGCGGATCTTATAAGTAAAAATCTCAAAAGAGCGAGAGAACCAAACGGGTGTCTATTGACTAAGACAAAGCTCTTCAGCTACGATACGAACGGACCAAATGTCGGCAGTGTGAACAGTTGGTGGAGACGATAAAGGGGGACAGCCCCTGACCAACTTGCCAGCAATTTTAATACGTGTAAGAGTGTTAAAAGAGTGTTAATACCAGCAGACAACAAGAGAATGTGTTGAAATGTGATCAGAGCCAGCTGAATCCGTCAAAAATTCGAGCGATAGGGAAGAGAATGACGAAAAAGAAGAAATGTAGAGTTTAGAAGCCGATAAAGAAAGTTGCCGGACATCAGGATCCGCGCTGCAATTTAGGAATATCTTCACCTTAAAAGGCAACCACGGAGACCACTGCGGATCTGAGCTTGCATAGTGCTGGTTGGTAAATAAAGACCAATAACTAGCCCTCTGAATTTTTTAGCAATCAAAAGTGGCGTGGTCTTATGAAGGGTTCTTTTCCTAGCGCTAAGGAAGGCGTCAAGCGGTCTTATTTCGGCAGGGAGGAGTCCATGAGAAGAGGATCGGTGTTTCGACTTGGCGAATTGGTCCATTCACCATCGAGGAATGGGGTCCTCTAGTTGGCCCACGGACCCTTGCTGATAGGATCCGACTGATACTAGTATAAACTGTGGGCTATAGCCGCTGAGTAGGTGAAAGGCATCCAGCCACTACTTCATGGCCTGCAGGTATTATGATCCAAGAGTCTCGCCACTTCTCGTGAGGTGTTCGAACCTAGTTGATCACGAAGGCGCATAGCGTGTGTTTCAGTTTCGCGAAGTCCACGGGAACCCGCGCTTCGTATTGGCCAAAACTTGCTCGGTAGGTAGTATCGATGACCCACCGACAAAGTTAGGTAGAAAATAGCGAAGGTGGACAGGATAGTACTCCATACACATCGTGAAAAAGCAGTTCGCTCCTGTAAAACCAAGACTGGCAAGACAGTTTTGGGTGCTTCAGAATGAGACAATGGTCGCATTCGCGATCCAGTCTCTGTTGGTGGGCGGAGTGGGCAACAGTCACATGGTGGTCACGGGTCCCAAGACTTTTTAATCTATTCCCTATATTGGGTAATATTATTTTGCCCTGCTATTGCCCAGGTTTTGTTCATAACAACGGTGGGCTTTTCCACTTTGGCCACTTTGGCGACTTGGGCTGAATTTTTCCCATTCAGCCCCGATTAATAAACAGTTTTCTCACCTAATAGGAACGCCGTTGAAATTGAAGGCCCATCCAAGGCTTAATATCTCGATTTCCATTGCCTAAAGACTTTGCCGGTATAAGGCTAAATAAGGCTAACTTACTCCGAGGGGCACTGGAGATTCAATAGTTTCCCTAAGCGCTCGGACCTGAACTTATGGAAAAATATTAATCAGAGTCTAGCTCATGCCAGCAATATATCCAGAACATGGCTAAAAACGTGGCATGACTAAGGCAAAAGACAACACAACTAGTTGACAACCTATATCATTCGAAATTAATGAGGTGTAGGAACGGTGAAGTGGTATCTCTTTCTTGATTCGAACGTTAAAATCATGGCCTATCAGTCATTAAGAAGAAAATCGGAACTTGGGCTCCGAAAATATGTACATGTGAATCCTATTCTATACGGAGCTTTCTCTGCCATGCTTGTTTACCGTCCCATCCAACCTCCGTCAACGCAGATGACTTCTCCAGAGATATAGCTGCTTGCCTGACTAGCCAAGAACACAATCACCCCCTTAAAGTCGTCGGGGCTGCCCCATCTCCCAGCCGGAATTCTAGCCATTATACCTGCGTTCCGATTCGAATCATTGATCAAAGCCGTGTTCATATCCGTTGCGATGTATCCGGGCGCGATAGCGTTCACGTTAATGCCCTTGGCGACCCACTCATTCGAGAGTGCCTTGGTCAATTGGGAAATACCTCCCTTGGAAGCTGCGTAGGCAGGGACAGTGATGCCACCCTGGAATGACAGGAGGGAAGCAACATTGATAATAGATCCGCGACGACCAGTCGGGAACTCAGATGCATCTCGCGCCAACAGATACGCGCCGAATTCACGGCATAGTGTAAATACTGATGTCAGATTGACTTGGATCACCTACGTAACCAGCAACCGTCCTTAGCTTTTTCATACAGCGGGAAGGAACCAAAACCATCTGGTCCGTGGAGAAAAGGGGTAAGCTCACCTCATCCCAGTCCTCATCTGGGAATTGCTCGCTCGGGTGCCTTCTCTGGATTCCGGCACAGTTCAGCAGAATCTCCGGTTTCAGGCCTTGGCTTGTTAACGCCGGAATGACCCCTTTAATTGCATCCCGACTAGATAGCTCCGCTACGTGAATCCAGGCTTTCCGGCCAATGCGGTTAATGATCTCATCACGGGTGGAAGTGTTGGATTCGTCTCTCTAATATCGCTCATAGGTCAGCATCCTATATCTAATATGGCCTGCCATACGGCATCAAATAGTCGCAAGGGGCACGTACCTGAATCAGTACGATATCAGCGCCAGCCTCTGCAAGCGCAAAAGCCATTGCCTGTCCAATTCCTCTCGTTCCTCCTGTAACGATAGCGGTCTTCCCGCTTAGCGAAAAGAGTGAAGCCGACATGGTGATTGCTGTGTATCAAGTAGAGTCCAAGATGTGAGTTTGGGGATCCGCTTTTCGACTGTAGCTCCCGCTCTTTTATAAGTGTTATGAATCAGGATAGTCCCCAGGAAATAATAAAAGAGTTTCTTTTGATCTTGTTGTTGCCATCGCGCTGATTTCTTCCATTCATAATAAATGTCCCCCCACGTGCGGGGCAGTAGAGGCATTACCTGAAACGGATATTCCTATTGCCGGCACTGTGATCAAACACCGATTCCCCGCAGTCGGTAATTGAACCATCCTCGCCAAGCATCCATAAAGCACGTGCCATGTATGATTACTGTTACGGGACCATTAGATACACTCGATTTAGGTTGTGGTTTACTATAACACACTAAAGGTAGGCATCGGTGGTGGTAATAATCATATATCAACTATTATAATATCCATTGAGCGAAAGTCACTAGTATAGAGCGACTGACTTACCAAAAGTAGCTGTTGAAGATATCAAACTCCGGCGTATTCTACGGTCAAAGACAAGGTGACACGTAGCCAAAGCTCAATGAGCGACAGGGACTATATAGATCTCTAGTAGATAGCGGGCTAGCACATGGCCATTAAGACTCTAGAAGAACCGGCTGATATTCATTGCTTTCTGAGATTCTTCAAGAGATACCAGGTCAACTAGATTTACTTGCTAATCTCACATCAGCAGTAACCTATATAGTTGCCTAATTGGGAAGAAAGAAGGAACTTCGAGGTTGCTTGATGAAGGGAATGAGTGAGAAGACGCAAATTAAGCATTTCATGATCGTCTTCATCTAAATAACTTCAAACCTTCTCAGGTTAGTCTACGAAGGCAGTTCATCAGGGGTTATTGCTCCTTATACACATCAAACTGTACAAACCATGATACAGATGTATGTATGTATGATGTATGTATGAAACCAAGTATTGAAACACCCGCAACGGTAGGTAGCTTTTAACCGTGGGTCACTAACTCCAGGCTGTTAGCCATAGATGCAACACATCCCGATCAATCTTAGCTGTTGACTTGACAATTTGGAATACAGGGCCGGGGGGATATGCTTTATTCCATACATGCTGCATAATACAGATCATCAATTCAGAAACACCCTTTGTGTGGGGAAAGCACGAGCGCCTTCAAGATTACCCCAAAGATAATACAATTTACCGGTCGATTTCCAGAACAACGGAGCTATTTTCCCATCGCTATTCTACAGTTTATTTCAACCTGAGCCTGTTTCAATTGGCCTCTTCTTGGTTTACTGGGAGTAGCACTCCAGAATCTATTTACTAGTCTTGACGCGTTGTCAAAACCTGCCTCCAACACTGCGTCCATGAAGATGTCACTTCTGACGTGTTACCTCTAATTTTGAGTCGGACATTTTTCTCTCCGCCATCCTCCTCGTCCCACAATCTATTTTCATTCTTGAATAATTTTTTTTTTTTTTTTTTAAGCTCGGGGGCAGATATGGATCAAGAAGAGCAATCCTCGCAGCGGGAAAGCACACCGGCGACGCGGCCGAAATCTCGCTCGGACCATTTGATGAAGCGCGTGTCGAGAGCCTGTTTGCATTGCAGGCAGCGAAAGTCGAAATGCGATTTGTAAGTCCATCCGTTGAGAAGTTGCTGTAATTCTTGCCGCTAGCTTTATTTAATCGGTATTCCCTTCTCATGAGCTAATTGACGGCTACAGAGATAGTAACGGCAATCCTGGAGTACCGCCATGCCAACGGTGTCTCCGAGATGGTCGCGAATGTATTTTGGGGAGCTCAAACCGTGGAGGGCGCCGTATCCGTAAGAACAAAATGAAGAACTTCACCCCAGATACAACCCTTCCAGGCCAACGGGAGCCTGTTATCGAATCGATCAGCCCAACCGCTGCAGACAATCGCCAGTCCACAAATACTTCATACCCTGGTCCGGTTGTTTTTGTACCTCCTAATCCCACAACGGCGACATCAGTATCGGTAGATGATGAAGATACGGCTTCAATTGGGTCGGTCCCGCGGAATCCATCTGATGCTTGGCAGTGTCTCACAGGCATTGCCAAAAGAGGTGATGACGGCCCTACCCCTGAGACGAACACTGATTCTCTGCGCACAACCCACAGCGCCTTCTCATTTGGTGCTCTCCAGAACGGCACTGTAACCGACTTTCAACCGAATAGTGGGATTAAGGCTTACAGACTAGTGCAATCACGCTCCTTAGACCCGGGCACAGTATGGCAGTTAGTTGTTCGATACGCCGAAAATTTTCACCCGTATCTCCCTTTGGTGCCGCGGAAATATTTTAACCGCAGCGCACTAGATTCCTTCGCTACAAATGAGAAGCATCTGCTCACTGCGGTACTTACAATCGCATCGAAGGATTTAGTCGAACGCCCGGAAATCCATGAATACTGCTCAAAATATATGCACGAATTGATCTCGGGAATAGCTGCTGGTGCCGACTGTGATGTAGAGGCCGTGGAGGCCCTTCTTCTACTTGCCGAATGGGAACCACAGGGTCTTCGTCCACGCATCGAGCGCGTTGGTCGTGGTGAGGAGGATCGAGCCGCATGGATGCATGTTGGTCTGGCCTTGCGGTCAGGTTATTTCCTAGGCTTGGACCGGACCTCCTTCCGAGGTGATCCTTCAGGGGATACAGAGACGGAAGCCCGCAGAAGGCTAGCATGGACCAGCTGCTACATTTCAGATCGATTAATATCTGTCCGTATCGGACGGGCTTTTTGGTCTCGTGGACCTGGCCCAATGACAGGCCTTGTCAGTCAGGATTTTCCTTCTTTACAACCTATCAAAGATGGAGATGAGGATTACGCGAGAATCTTCCAGGCGACCTTAGATTTGACACAACTTTATGGGAATGTACATGACGTTCTTTACTCTGGTATGCGGACAAGCAACCAAATGATGCTTATGGGGGACTATGTAAAATACGTGGATGATTTTCGTCTCGCGATTTTGCGGTGGAAGTCGCTCTGGGGCTCATTACCCTGTAAGTTGAGGGATTTTCCTGGCCCGATGCGAACTAGCCATCACTGACAAGTTGCAGGTTCTACGCCCATACAAGCTACTTTACAACTCTCATATGAATATCTAAGGCTGTACACTAATGCTTTTGCATTCCAAGCTGCAATTTCCCAATCAATGGTGTCGAAGTTAAAGAATGATCAGTCACAAAGAGAACATCTAAGATCAACTTTCAACGATGTGGCATCGATGCAAGATGCCAGGTTTATCTATGAATCCGTGGATGCCGCTAAGGCTTACTTGACAATTCTTGTTGACCTGGTGCATCCAGAGAAGCATCTTCACTTTATGCCTCTCAGATTTTATCTGTACGGAATTTATGCAGCTGTTTTTCTGTATAAGGTAAAGTTGTTTTGCTTCCGTTTGAAAAACTTGTCTCAGGGCTAATTCGAGTTCAAGGCTCGATCGTTTGGAGTAATGCCAAATGGCGAGGAAACAAAAGTGCGCGATCTTGTAACACGAACTACCGACGTATTGAAACGAGCAAGTGCTGGACCGGACGACATCGGCTCACGTTATTCCCGGCTTCTGGAACTCCTGTGGAAGCCTAAGGCTAGGACAGTTGCCTCTCCAGCTGGGACACATCAGAGCAGTGATTTCCAGGTGCAGAGTAACGCTATACCCCATCGCTTGCCTGAGCAAAGTAATTATATGCAATTCAGCCCTGCGAACGATTTCTCGTGGTTGGATCTTGAAGCAGTTGGGGACTACGTCTCGGGAGACCAATTACCCGGAGCGAACACATTGGCGTTTGATTCGTTCCAGAACCCCGATCCGTATCAGACAGGGCAGGACCGTTCCCAAGCCTGGCAGCCGAATTGGCCTGGAGATATGACCAATCTCCTGTTCTAGTTGTCTAAGTCATGGTTATCCGGGACTGGAACAGAAAGTTATCTTTCCATTATTGAGAACAAGCGATCCATCCAAGTAGAGGATTGAAATGGAACCAAAACGGAACGTACTGTCCTTGTTCCAATGTTGTTTGTCCCCCACGTTACTGGTGCGGGGCTGATGAGGATGTGGGGTTCTGACCAGAAGCCGATCGCGATGTGTCCGTCCCTCACTCGGACTATTCTCCGACCCGCTGGAATATTATGCGCCGGACGAAGGAGCTCCGCATAACTTCTTCCTGTCGTACCTGTACCGGAAACCAGGCAACATATACTTGGACATCGTTAACACAATGGAGCAACAAAATGACATCAGTGGCCGATTGGCCCTGATTACTGGAGCCTCTGGAGGGTAAGTACTCTGAACCTAGCACCTACTAAGGGTCATTACCGGTCTAACTCAGTATCGCTCAGGATTGGGGCAGCTTGTGCTCGTCAGCTGGCTGCGAAAGGCGTCCATCTTGCTTTGACGTATTCCACGAACGTGTCTTCGACATCTTCTCTGGCCGAGGAGCTCAAATCCAAACACTCAGACAGTTACAGTCTCAGGATTTCAATTCATAAGGTGGACGTGTCTTCAGCCGACGAAATTCAGCATATGTTTGAGGAGATCGGCCAGCAACATGGCAAGCCGCCGGACATCTTGGTCTCCAATGCTGGATACGGCAAGCGAATCCCACATGTTTGGGACATTTCTCTCGAGGAATTCGATCACACCATCAATGTGAACCTACGTGCTTCGTTTATTCTGGTGAAGGGCGTGGTGGAGCACATGAAGAGTCAGCGATGGGGTCGGATAGTGTTCATGTCCTCGATTGCCGGCCAGGGAGGTGGGATCAATGGATGTCGTATGCGATCACACTTAGTCAAAATGATGTTACCCACGTTCACTAACTTGCGCACAGACTACGCCGCTTCGAAAGGGGGACTAACCGGAATGATGAAGAATCTTTCCACGAGGCTAGCTGAATATAACATCAGCGTCAACGATGTTGCGCCTGCCATGATTGGTGAAACCGGTATGATCCCTAGCGCTGCGGCCATCCCTGAGGTTGCCGCTGGGATTCCTTTGGGCCGACTGGGCCTTCCGGATGAAGTCGCCAACGTGGTGACTATGCTTGTGACGACCGGTTATATGACTGGTCAAAGTCTGTTGCTTGGGGGAGGACTAAAATAATATATATATGTATTGTTCTATCATACACCAAGTTACGAAATGACTATGATGATCCATAATTTGATTGAACTTTATATTTTGCAGAATTCATACCCTCTACGTGTCAAGTCGTGTACCTCTATTGTATGCTAACCAATGAATTGTTTTTGCCTCACATCACCAGGATGCCGATACATATACGCTCCTCCACATTGTCACTCTAGTTCTGTCATGATGTGCTTCATCTACTATACACCGTTTCTTCATGGTATCTCAGAAGTTTTCTATCTCCACAAAAGCCACACCAATCTTCAAGTCAAACCCGGGTATTACACAAAAAATAATGCAAGGAAAAAGGGACCAAAAGATCCTAACTCTCAATGACAACCTTCACGACAGGTCGTCCAGACTCATCCACACCCTTTCCGGCCAATGCAAACGCCCTCTCTCCCTGTTCTAACGGCAACCGATGGGTAACAACGAGCTCCTCAACACGGTTGAACTTGCCACTTGCCACCAATGCGATGGCAGCGGGGTACGCGTGCCCATCATACCGGAAAACACCGATAATATCAACCTCCCGAAGAGCTGCCGCACCCACAGGAAGAGTCTGAATGGGGTTGCCCATACCAATCTGCACCAGAACCGAACCTGGAGCAGCGGCGTAGATACCCGCCTGCACACAGGCCGGTACACCCGTGCATTCGTAGATACGGGAGAAACCGGAGGTCAGGCCGATAGTATCCTTCAATTTAGCAGCAACACTCTGAGCATTTTGTAAGGCATAGGCTGTTTGCTCAGCGTGAGGGGCATCCTTAGGCGGAGGCGGGTTTGCAGGGTCCGCCTTGGGGATGAGGGCAGTCTTAAGACCGAGGTTAAGCGACTCGGCGATGGCCAAGCGTGCCGGGTCGATATCAGCCACGACAATGTTCGAGAAGTTCTCAGCTGTTGCAAGCGCACCAGCCAGAAGTAGACCGATGGCGCCAGCACCAAAGATCAAAGCAGCAGACTGGTCGCCCAGCGACTCGGCCAGTTGCACCTCCTCCTTGGATGGGGGATGCGAACGGCGGACGGCATGTAGGCAGACAGCCAGGGGCTCGACGAGAGCGCCTCCGGCGAAGGACACTGAGTCGGGGAGCTTGTGGCACATTTCGGCAGGGTGGTTGGTGAGTTCCATGAGGGTGCCGTCGAGATGGGGGAAGATTTTGGCACTGCTCCGGAACTTCATTTCGGGGCAGATGTTGTAACGGCCTTGTTTACAGAGGACACACTTGCGGCAGGGCAGGCCGACTTCAAGCGCGACCCGGTCGCCAACTTGCAGGGTGGTGGCTTCCGGTCCGACGGCGGTTACGACACCGGAGGACTCATGGCCCAGGCAGAAGGGCTCGCGAACGACGAAGTCGCCATTGCGGCCGTGGTTGTAGTAGTGAAGGTCTGATCCGCAGAGACCAGTGGCGCGGATGGCGACTTGAACTTCGGAGCCGGTGGGGGCAGCAACGGGCTTCGTTCCCTGATGAGAATGTTAGACAGTTTTTTTATCTGAAGTTTTGAGGGTTATCGTACCATGCGGAGATCTTTTGCGCCGTGTAGGACGAGTGCCTGGCAGGCACCGGTATCAGTGACGGTAGCCATTTTTGTGTTTTCGGTGTATTCGAATTAGAAATGGAGTTGAGCGAAGGCCCGCCATTATGATAATGCTATTATATGCACAGCATGACTTTCTTGTCGGCCATTGACTCCGCCTCAACGTGGGGTTGAACGGATTTCCTCCGCGTCGGTTATTGAACCCAGTTGTCAATAGCCGACGGGCTATCATGGGATACGTTACGACCTCGACGTGTAATACAGGGTGTATATTTTGAGGATTTCCGACGAGTTTCACGTAGTACTTGAGATTCAGCCAAAGCCAGATGTGGATACTTTCTCATGGACCCCAAGTAGCATTCAAAATCATTCATAGATTACTCTGTCATGTATATAGTGGGAAATTCTACTATGGTCGTGCACTTACATGTACCCCAATACATCCCATGCAATACCGATATGATAACGGTAATACATACAGAAAATGGGCCACCCCACGCCAACCGGAATTGGGGGGCAACAATCAATCAATCAATCAATCAATCCCTCAGTGAAACATAATTATTGACTGGAATATTCTTAAAAGATCAGTAATTGGAATTTCTCCTCTCCCTCCTGTCTACTTCTTCTTCTTCTTCTTCTTCTTCGTCCACATTTTCCCCTTCTTCCTCTCCGTATACCCCTTCTACTTCTACAGTCCAAGAAACCAAAACCCCACGTTTGCTCCAACTCTGACATCATGCCTACCGCACTGCTGATCGGCGAAATCACTCATGCCCGCAAGGAGTGGGAAGAGCTGTCGTCCATTCTGACGCTCAAGGTAAGAGTTATCGGGTGGGAAGTATGATTGAATTCAGCTGATTTAGATGGTTTATTATGTAGGAATTTCCCAGCGGTACTAGAGAGGACTTTATCCGCAATTGCAAAGAGGGTCAATATGATGATGTTCTGGTTATTTATCGCTCGAATACTTCTACGAAGGTATGGTGATGGTTTGATTTCAGAGCGCAAGTGCATGCTAAGTCGCGCGTAGTTTACGGGTCCCTTCAATGCAGAGTTACTTGCTGTTCTCCCCAAGTCGCTGAAGTATATTTGTCATAATGGTGCCGGTTACGACAATATTGATATCAAGGGGTGCACAGACAAGGGTATGTATAACCTTATCTTCTAGGAATAAGTGAAGGATTGACGAGGTAATGATCGATGCAGGAATCGCCGTTTCCAGCACGCCTGTCGCTGTTAACCATGCTACAGCTGATGTGGGCATCTTTTTGATGATCGGTGCCTTGCGACAGGCCTACGTGCCGTTGTCTGCTCTCCGGGAGGGTGAGTTCCTACTCCAGGTAAAGGGAATGGGGAAAATGTGAGGTAATTGACAATCGGACCACAGGTCAGTGGCAGGGCCAAACTACATTGGGTCGTGATCCCCAGGGTAAGGTGCTAGGCATCCTCGGGATGGGGGGAATCGGCAGGGTAAGGACCCAAACTTTCCTTACGCTTGATGATGAACTGACTTGTCCCAGGAAATGGCCAACCGCGCAAAGGCCTTCGGAATGAAGATCCAGTACCACAACCGGTCCCGACTGTCGCCTGAGCTCGAGGGAGACGCTACATACGTGTCGTTTGATGAATTGCTGGCTAGCTCAGATGTCCTTAGTCTGAACCTCGCTCTTAATGCCTCTACCCGTCATATCATTGGCGAGAAAGAATTCCAGAAGATGAAGGACGGTATTGTCATTGTTAATACTGCTCGTGGTGCGCTGATTGACGAAAAGGCGCTGGTCGCTGCTTTGAATTCCGGGAAAGTGAGTTGAGCGTTTGCAATCTCCATGTGTTAATGATATCTAATGCTGGGTAGGTCCTGTCGGCTGGTTTGGATGTCTATGAGAATGAGCCGGTTGTAGAGCAGGGCTTGGTGAATAACCCCAAGGTGATGTTGTTGCCACACATTGGAACCATGACATATGAGACACAGAAGGATATGGAGTTGTTGGTGTTGAACAACTTGCGCTCGGCGATAGAGAAGGGAAAGATGATCACGTTAGTCCCTGAACAGAAGAATGTGTTCTAGATGTAGGCTGGAGATTAGATTAAATATAATTGATAGAATAAATTGTTAAAAAGTCATGCCATGATCAATTCGAACTGTCAAAATCCAGCACAGTCTCCCTGAGCTAGAAATGTGTGCTCGGTAGCGTCGTTGAAGATGATATGTCTTAAGATAATCAGTCTTCGGAAGGCCGAGACTTGGTCTGCGGCCCTGTCCGTCGTGAATGGTACTGCCGGGCGGTGTGGCCTGCTCTTACCAACAACAGCCCTAGTCCGCTTTGAGCTCGCTAAAGGGTTAACCCTAGGAAATGCCAAGAGCGAAAAAGCGCACCACAACGAGACTTGCGATCTCGAAGTTCCAGCGGCCGACCGAAAGAAAAGCGACAAAACTTCTCACCCGACATCGAGGACCACCCCGCTCGGCAACCACATCAAGATGGTGAGTGCTTTATTTGAAGTTTTTGGATTCGATTGATCGGGAGGGAAAGAAGAGAACGGAGAAACTTCACCAGTGGAAGAGACATCTTTGCACCGAACATGTTCGATCCTGTCAATCCCAAGATTAGGCTCTGTGGCCTATCCCGATATTTCGACTCTGCCATCACCACACCCACTCCAGCCACCATCAATTGCGTTTCGAGATAGAGGAATATGGCTTTGCTGATGCAGGATTTTTTTCGTCTTTCAGGTCCGTTACGCTGCTCAGGAGATTCCGGCCGCTAAGAGCGCCCGCGCCCGGGGCTCTTACCTGCGCGTCAGCTTCAAGAACACCCGTGAGACCGCTCAGGCCATCAACGGCATGAAGCTCCAGCGTGCTCTTACTTTCCTTGACAACGTCACCAACAAGCTCGAGGCTGTCCCCATGCGGAGGTTCGCTGGCAGCACCGGCCGTTGCGCTCAGGGTGAGTGGCTCATATTTTCTTTACACGAGGTGGATCATGGTTCGAGATGGTTTATGGAATGATTGGATATGTGCAAGAAGACATGGAGCAGAAGAGGAGGAATTTTGGCTATTGGAGTGGCTCGGGTGGCATGTGTTGGGAAACGGGCCGTGATGTTTGGGCGAGAGACATGGGCAGGACTTTCGCTAACCGAGTTCTACAGGCAAGCAGTTCGGTGTCAGCAAGGCTCGCTGGCCCGAGAAGTCCGCCAAGTTCCTCATCGACCTCCTGAAGAACGCTGAGGCCAACGCCGACACCAAGGGTCTTGACACTGGCAACCTCGTTGTCAAGCACATCCAGGTCAACCAGGCCCCCAAGGGCCGCAGACGCACCTACCGTGCCCACGGTCGTGTATGTTTCCCACCATATTCGCGGTTGATATCTTTTGCTGACTCGAGGCTTAGATCAACCCCTACATGACCAACCCTTGCCACATCGAGCTTATCCTTACTGAGGGTGAGGAGGTTGTCCAGAAGGGTCCCGTTGCCAAGGAGGCTCACCTCTCCTCTCGTCAGCGTGGCCTCCAGGTCCGCCGTGCCATCCAGGCATAAGCGGTTCATGGGTGTCGGGGGTGAGGTAGTCGGAAAATGAATGGGAAAGCCGGAGTTTTCTGTTGTACGGAACAAATACCTTTTTACGGAAGGAATACAAAAGAAATTTCTACAAACTGAACAACCCTTCGAAATCTATGGGTGGAAGCATCAGTTCTTCCCTCTTGTCATGAATATCTCCTTAAGCGTTGATCATATCCCGAATATCTCACGGTCACTATGTGATTTCTCAGGGGAAAGGGATCATTTGTTTCAATAGTCCCCTGGCTTTGCAGACAACCCATGGTGCCATGCAACAACTGGATGCTTGGCTAGGTACAGGCTGGATCGGACATTTTATTCTCATACTTCAGGATACTGTTGAGCTTTGTTTCACGAATGGGATACGGAAATCTATATTAATGAGGTTCGGGAGAAATGCCGATGATCTTGCTTGTACTAGAAAAGTCATACATGCGTCCATGTTTAACCGCCGGGTGCTGAATACGTAAGTTAGACCGTAATGAGGACTTCCGTAGTCTAGTTGGTTTATAAACGAGCGTCTGCAATATACGGGACATGATACTACGTGGTCGTCAGAAGGTGTAGCCAAGAAGCCTCTTTTCCCTTCGTGCAATGATATTCTCCACTCAGGGATACTCCAATTGGTGGTGGTGATTAGTTTGTTGTACTCCGTACGAAAAGTATATATATCTTGAGTGATGCCTGATTGAAGCCAAGAGTGGCGATGCAATGTCTTGTCAGCCACAGGACCTCAAGATAACGATTATACGGTACGGCTCCGAGATCGTCCGCATCGGTGAATGGATTTCATCTATCATGGGTGCACTGATGGGGAAGGTGACTGGTGTAAGATCTTTAAAGTCGATATGCATACGTAGGAGCCTGTTGGGGGAATGACGCAGCAGCGGGATCGTCCTCCAGTCCCAGGCATCAACAAATGGAGAACCTCCGCACAACCTCAACCGAGTAACCTATGCCATGACCGTTACCTATGGATCGTCCCAAGTGGACAGACCAGTGCTTGCGTGTCACCAAACACAACAGATTGCCACATTCTTGTCTAGGTGACAACCGGGAGTGATGACCGGGGCTTTCTGCCTTCAGTTTGGTCTAAGAACCAACACTAAGCCTACACTAGACTAGTAGACCTCCTGTTTTATCTATCGACGCTACCCCATCAGACAGACTCTCGTGCTTAACTTTCTGCTTTTCTAACTGTCCTTGCCGTGTCAGTGCTTGGGGGCTTTACTTCTGTTTTGTTCCTCTTCTATTATATCGTCATCTCCAGGGCCTCGGGTGGTTTGGTTTACAATCATGAAGCGCATCCTGACCTCCTTCAGCAAGCGGTCCGGTATGTATCGCGACTCATCCCGCAATGTCCAATCGATTACTCATGAGAATAGGCCCAGCACCGGAAGGTCCATCATCATACGCTGAGGATTCTCCCGAGGGTATTATCCTGAGAGAAGTGGTCCGTTTTCGAATCCCAGGCCCCTTGTCGCGTTGCCACTGGGAAAGTTAGACTAATTTGTGTTGATGTACTAGACTGCCTTTTGCGAGGCAGTTCCGAGCAATACCGTACGTTCCTTCCCCCTCCGTGCATCGACTTCGCGTCCAATCCGACCATATTGACTCGAACAATAACTGATGAGAAAATATATGCACAGCAAGGAAATGAGTTCGTCCATCTGCCCGCTATTGTCGAAAGTGCGGAGTCTAGCCCCAATGCCGCCAGGGAAGCTGCGCATCGCATTCGCAAGTTGTTGTCCGACCCAGCGTCAACGCCGGCCAACGTACAGTATAATGCGATCATGCTGATCCGCATACTCGTCGATAACCCTGGCCATACTTTCACACGGAACATTGATGCCAAATTTGTCGCAACTATAAAAGACCTCCTGCGCCAGACGAGGGACTCGAATGTGCAAGGCTTCCTTCGGCAGACTCTGGATGCTTTAGAGATGCAGCGTGGATGGGACGAGGATCTTGCGCCACTTCTGCAGATGTGGACAAGGGAGAAGACCAAGCTCAAGAGGACTAATAGTGGAGTATGTACCCATGCGATGCCTGGTGTGGACCTTGGTGCGACAGCGCTAATAGGATCTTCGTTAGAGTACTTGGAGGTCCCAGGTTTCATCCCAGACTTCACCGCAACCACAACAACCTCGTCCGGATTATTTTGGCTCGCGCCAGGCCGGAGCCTTGCCACCCCCGGATGAACTCGCGGCTCGTATTACTGAAGCCAAGACATCGGCAAAACTCCTCGTGCAGTTCGTTCAGTCGACGCCCCCTGCAGAGATGGCGGAGAACGAGCTCATTCAAGAGTTCTCTGGCCGATGTCGGTCGGCATCACAAACTATCCAGCACTACATTCACTCGACGAACCCTCCACCGGACGAGGATACTCTCCTCACCTTGATTGAAGCAAATGATGAGCTTTCCACATCACTATCTAGGCATCAACGTGCTCTTCTTAACGCGCGTCGAGCCTTAGGACAATCGGATAGCCAGTCACCCCCCTCGTCCGATACCACGCCATCGAGGGCTTCTAGTGCTATTCCCCCACCGGTACCTCCGCGGGATACGCATAACCCCTCTATACCACCGGCAACGCCCCTGGCGATATCAAGCCCCAGCAGCATTTCACCTCCGACTAACAACGGTATGGGCCGGTCGGAGTACCGGTCGGAGGATTTTCAGGTGCAGAACCCGTTCGCCGATAACTTCAGCACTACTGCTACCGGCCCATCGGACGGACGGATGGAAGGGACAGCGAACGACTCGTGGTATGATCCGTATCAGCGACCTGTACAGCGCGCGTGACGCTTCGTGGAGTGTTGAGCGTTTTCTTTTATATTAGGTTTCTTGTTTGCCAGCCCCCCTTTATGCGTCTGTACTGCACGATTAAACGCCTTTCCTAATGCTTTAATGTAGTTATAACTTTTTTTCTTTTCTTTTTTTTTTTTTTTCGGTCGATGTGATACCTCTTTCGCGGAGTAATATTACTTGTATACGTTGTTGGCTTGGCTGCGTCGCTGAGAAGATAACTGACGACTGGTCTGCGCCACATAGTATGCACCAGCTTAGACGAGACAATGTACCTATTCCCTGTGGCAAAAAGAAAATTTCGTCCTGACTTTGCTCAAAGTTCATAATAAAGCACAAAGTTATCAGGCGTGTTGCCAGCGATTGGCAGAGAGGTAAGCGCGGTAAACAAGGCATATATGGTAGCTACATAGTATTGGCATGCTAACGCTCACGAACAGAGCACCCGCACCCTGTTCATTACCAACAAAAGTGCTTGTCTGCCGAGGACTCCCCGATGCTTGTTTTGACTGTACTAGTTCATCGAGCCATGCATCGCACAGATCACTTAATGAACACCGGGCGCTTACCCAAAACGCAAGCGGCGACTCATTCCGACTAAAATAGTGGGCTCATTTGCCCCTACTCATAGTCTCCTACTTAAGTACATACGAGGCTTCTGCCTTATTTCAGATACGAACTCCGAAGACCCTTGGCTGTCTTTATGATTATGGAGACTCAAGGACTAACTCAGGAAGTGGGGCGCAGGAGACGAATCTATATGAGGATGCTAATGCTAGACTATTGCGATAAGTCTTTCCTTCCAGGATCCGGGTCTGATCAATCAGAAGCTATCCCAAGAGCACCATGGGATCCTACTCGCCGGAGAAAAGTCGTGGCTACATGTGATGGAGCCGCCGGGTTAATGAAGCTGAAACCCTAACCAAGGCGCCAAGCATCAGGAGCTGGTCTAAGCATATCCACCGGCCACCATTATGTTTTAGATCAATTAAGGTGAAACTACTGGCCGCTTTGTATCTTGTCACTTTTAATGAGCCCACTGAAATCTAGTTCCACTAACTATTGATTTCTTGCCAAGCCCTGGCGACAATGGCCTGGTTCAACGCCCTTCTCCGGTGGAGAGTCTCGGGGTAATTGATTCTAAGGGCTTCGGGAGATAACCGTCTCCCTGAGAAGTGTCGAGAATTGTTTCACGGCGGACTCCCGATGGAGCTTCCCTGCCGGCCATGATAGATGAGCCGACCGTATATATAGATGGGTGAGAACGCTCGTCTCGTCCTTTCTCTCGTTCTCCAAACACGCAGGTTTCTTCTGTTCTTCTTTCTTTGCACACTCTCTTATACTACCCGGTCCGTGACCGTCTCGTTCTTTCTCTTTCTACATTCATTTGATTAGGTATACTGGTATACCGATCCATTCTCTGAGAAACTTCTTTCGTCTATCTTATTCAAAACTCAACCAATTACAACCCCCCCCTTTCAAAATGAAGCAGACTGGTACCATCCTTGCCCTTGCCGGCCTTGTCTCCATGGCTCACGGCCACGGTTTCGTTACCTCCCCCAAGCCCCGTATGCCTGGTACCGCTTTCCAGGAGGCCTGTGGTCAGCAGATGTACAACAACCAGCAGGCCGACAACTACGGCAACATCCAGGGTGAACTGCAGGTTGCCAACGGCCAGAACGACTTCGATGCCGCCAAGTGTGACGCCTGGCTTTGCAAGGGTTACAAGTTTGACGACAACAAGGACAACGTCTTCCAGTACACCCCTGGCCAGAATGTCGACTTCACGGTCGACATCCGTGCCCCTCACACCGGTGTTGCCAACGTCTCCGTCGTCGATACCGCCTCCAACACCGTCATCGGCGAGGTCCTCAAGTCCTGGGATGTCTACGCTTCGACCGAGACCGGCGTCAAGGAGACCGACAAGAAGTTCAGCGTCACTCTCCCCAGTGACCTCGGTGGTAAGTGCTCCGAGGCTGGTGCCTGTGTTCTCCAGTGGTACTGGTTTGCCGAGTCCATCGACCAGACCTACGAGTCTTGCGTTGACTTCACCATGAGCGGCTCTGGCTCTGGCTCTTCCGCCAGCGCCTCCTCCGCTGCCTCCACCGCTGCTGCTACTGCCTCCTCCACTGCCACTGGTGTCGCTGTCACTGCTACCCCTACCACCGGCAACAACGTCGCTGCCCCCAGCGGCTTCGCCACCAGCGCTAAGCCTTCTGCCACCTCTGCCCCCAGCTCTGCTGCTTCGACCGTCACCATCCCCACCGACGGCACCGCGGAGGAGAAGCTCAACTGGATCGCCAGCCTCCTGCAGACCCTCGTCAAGTACACTGCTTAAAAAAGTGATGTGATTTTACCAATCTGTTGGGTGTGAATAGATTTATATATACTTCCTAGCACGTGAATAGAATTTGCCTGCATTATGCATTCGAAAACTGGGACTTAGTCTTAGGGGCACAAAGCTTAGCTTTAGAATTGTGTCTATATCACTCCGGATTCACTTTAGATCCAGGGCAGTTGCGCCTCATACTGTGGGTATATTTTGGTGTAAACATGTTCTGTGTTTTTATTTTTATTTTTTTTTAATTTATTTTTCATTCTTTCTCCTGTACCTTTCGTCAATAGCTCTTACATTGTAATTAGAACGGATATTTCGTGGCCTTCACTCCGGAGGGTACCATAGTGAGCGAAACCAGTCAAAACCAATGGATTTGATCTTTAACAAAAATCTTATGTTATTTCGCATCGTGTAGCGACGACTTGGGGACTCGGTGAAATTAGCATGGATGGATAACCACTGTGTGCTTCAGGGATCTCCATGAAACCAACAATGAAACGGAAATCTCCTTCGTCCCACCAGGATCTTAGCAAGGGTATTCGGTATAGGCCTCACCGATCCACCATCGCGAGTATCTTTGTTATTGGGCCAAGGTCCCGAGTTCAGCTACCCTTGCAATTTCGAACCAGCGCCAGGAATCATCGGATTTGTTGACCCGGATCGACGGAATTTGATTCGATTGCTCCTCGCCGACGCTTGTTTCTCGAGCATTGGCTTACATTTGAGGTTTTTATTCCGGTTGACACTTGATATTTCGAGAAAGTTTTTTTTTTTTTTTTTTTTTCCTTTCCCCGGTAGCTTCCGACCAAGACTTGTTCCAAGGTTGATCACAATCTGGAATTTTTGCGGGTAAAAACTATATCTCTGTCTTGAATCTTGTAAAGTATCAAGTGTACTGACGTCCTTTGGGGATTGTCTTTCTTTTAAGGTGTCTTGGGTTACATTCGATGATACAAATTGGAGATTAAATTAAATTTTTACTTAAGAATTTAAATCTTAAATGAACCATTGGTTTGTTATCAGATAAGCAAGCAACAACTCCGGCCCGCCGCTTCAGCCACAATTCTATCAATCACATTTTCTTGTTCTGTCACCAAACTCCCTTCCCCTCCCCCTGCAGTTCTTTCGTTCTTTTCTCCTCATCTGCAAACCATCAATCGTCCAGTATGATGGAAGAATCTCACCTCCGTCAGAGCATGTCTCATCATCCGTCCCCGTTTAACTCTCCTCAGGCTCATCACTCGCATATCCCATCCACTCTCTCCTACAATGAAGCAACCACCACCGCTCTAGAACCGCAAACGTCTCAACACCGCACCGGCAACACCAGCGATGAAGAGGGCCAACCACCACCACGATACACGCGTGAGAATGATCCCTTCCAGCTCGCATCGAAGATCAAGACCGATGAAGAAATCCGACAAATCCACCCGCAAGCCAACACGGCCCGTAAACGCGACAGCTGCATCCGCGCAACCAAGAACCCAAAGAAGGCCTTGAACACCGCCATCTCGTCCAGACAGCTACAAGGCTTCTACCACTCGCAGAACGAGAACATCGAGCGCATGCTGAAACCCGTCGAAGAGCACGTCCGTGACGCCCGTGAAATCAGCGCCAACAACCAACTCAAATACAAAATCGCCGTATACGGCAGCTTCGCCGCGAACATCATCCTCTCCATCCTACAACTCTACGGTGCCATCGCGTCGGGCTCTCTCTCTCTCTTCACAACAATGGCCGATGCCGTCTTCGACCCCATGTCCAACCTCACCCTGCTCCTCTGCAACAAGGCCGTCAACCGTGTCGACCCCCGCAAGTTCCCCGCCGGCAAAGCCCGCATCGAAACAGCCGGCAACATCTGCTTCTGTTTCCTCATGACGGCCGTCTCATTTATCATCATCGCTTTCTCCATCCGTGAATTGGTCGAGGGCTCCGAGTCAGAAACTGGTGATTTCCATCTGCCCTCCGTCATCGCTGTTATCGTCGCTTTCTGCACCAAGTTCGCCCTCTTTGTCTACTGCTTCGCGTTGCGCCACCAGGTCTCCCAGATCCGCATCCTCTGGGAAGATCACCGCAATGATCTCTTCATTAACGGGTTCGGTATCCTGACCTCAGTCGGTGGAAGTAAGCTGCGCTGGTGGATTGATCCCATGGGCGCTATTATTCTTTCCGTCCTAGTCAGCTGTCTTTGGCTTTATACTGCCTATCACGAGTTCCAGCTTCTGATCGGCGTCACTGCTGATACTAAAATGCAGCAATTGATTACTTATATCTGTATGTCTTATCCCCTTTTTCTAATTCTATCCTGTCAGAGTCGAATGCGCAAAGTACTCATATACATCTTTTGGACAGCGATGACCCACTCACCTTTCATCACCGCCATTGATACCGTCCGCGCCTACACCTCCGGGCCCCGGTTGCTCGTCGAAGTCGACATTGTCATGGACCCCAATGATTCCCTCCGCGCGACGCATGACGTTGCCGAGGAGCTGCAGATGAAGCTGGAGTCCCTGCCTGATGTGGAGAGGGCTTATGTGCATGTTGATTATGAGACGACGCATAAGCCGGAGCATTTCCTGAAGAAGGAATTGTAGGTTCGTTGTCTTGCTGTTTGTAAGGGAGGTTATTGTGGTTCAGTTTACGTAAAGCGGTTTTATGTATTACATGCATGTATGCATGAAATGTATCGGTGGATACAGTCATTTATAATACGGGCAGAATTCCCTACTTGATAATGAAGTAATTAATGTGATATCCTCTCAGGACATATTTCGGGTTAACTTAGAACCAAAACTCTAATTAACGATTGAACAAAGAAATGGTATCCACAAAAAGAACAAAAAGCAGTGCCTCCCGTGCTAACCGATCCTTTTATCGCAGTCGTGACTCGTACAACAACCAGGTGTCCATACAAACAGGTAGACCAAATCCACTACAATGAATCACAAATCATCTGATTCCAATATTTACTCCAAACTCACTCGGTAGAAGCGAAGGCCGAGTCATTATCTAAGAGACACATAGGCAATGAAGATCTAACACCATACTGAGAGAGAAATCATGACTGTTCAAACAGCGCAATAGTCGAGCAGAAGTTACTCTCGTTCTCATCCTGGGGCACAAGACCGGCGCCGCTGTTGGACGTGATCATGTTCGTGCTAGCCTTGGTGCTCAATCCGTAGATGTGAACGTCGGAGCAGTCGACCTCGACCATGTTCTCCTGGCAGGACTCCGTGGCCAGACAGGTCTGACCGTAGTTCTCGAAGAAACTGTACAGTCCTGCGCCATACACATACATGTCGGAAGTGTTCTGGACGCGCAGACCCCATGCCTTGCGGCAGCCTTCGGTCTTACAGTAGGAGAAGTCGGGGTCATTCCAGTTCGTCTGCGGAGTGAAGGGGGTCAGGGCGTTGGGGTTAGCCTGGTAGTAGGGGGTTTCTGTCTGGATGAGGCCCATGAAGACGTTCTTGGCGTTGGTGACCTGGTAGTTGTAGAGCTGGTTGTGTTCGGAGGCAGTACCGTAAAGCCAGACGGGGCCTTGGGATTCGATGTAGACGCCACGTCCGTTGTAGACGTTGATCTGGTTGTGGTCAGGGAGGTCGAGCTCGTGGTCAGCGACCCAGAACCACGAGTTTTCAATGTAAGCGCTTGCCTTCTCTGTGATGTGCATGAGCATGAATGCGGCAATGCACTCTTCGTTGGGCGTGGTGGTCTGTTTCGGTGTCTTGGCGCACTTGTCGCTTTGCAGCTCGGTGCCTGCTGATCCACCGATGCGGAAGTGGGTGTCCCACATACCGGCGGAGCCCTGGGAGGCCTCCGCGAGGTTCCACTGCATTAGGATTGCGCCGGGGGCGGGGCCCTTAGTCTGCAGGGCGATGTCGGTGATTTCGACGGAGCCGGCGTCACCAACTTCTCCGACCTGAAGCATAGGGGTAGGGTTCTTCTCGTCGGCGAACTTCTGGCCGTGGGCCATCAGGACGGGCCATACTTCACCCGTGATCTTGATGTTCTTGGGCACCTTGATGGTGTCGGTGATTATGTAGGCTCCGTGGTCGAAGTAGACTATCTGGTCATCCTTGGCGCTGTCCAGCACCTTCTGGATGGCAGCTGTGTCGTCAGTCGAGCCGTCTCCCTTGGCGCCCGCGGACTTGACACTGAGGAACGAAGAGACATCATAACTGGTGTACAGGGGCTTGGACCGCTCGTAAACCTTCCCACCTGTGAGCAGGGAGCTGGGCTTAGCATGAGTTGGGAGAGCAGTTTGGAGACGAGTCTTGGTAACTGTTTTGATGGAGCAGTGGTTTGTTCCGTGGGCAGCTGATGACGAAGCTGCACCTGTAACCATCGAAGAAGATGCCTGAACAGTGGGGGACGGCTGGGTTGGAATGAGGGGTCCGGTCACGCTGGACTCAACTGGAGTCTGTGGCTCTGACTGTGCAGGGGCGGACAGCTGGGGAGTCGGCTGAGCTGCAGTAGATGGTTCAGCCTCTGCTGGAGTTGAGGGAGTGGCAGTGGGCTCTGGGACCGCGGTGCTCGGCGCCTCCGCGGGCTGGGTGGCAGATGGCTTAGAGCTGGACAACAAACCGCTCACGAGTGGAAGGTTGGACAATGGAAGAGTTGGCAGAAGCCCTGCAGTACGGCTTTCTCCAGATAATGAAGGAAGGCCCGTTGCGGCGGACGAAGAGTCTGCGTGATCGGCAGTGCAGACCTCCACTGTCTCTGTTACAGTTTCAGTAATCACTTTCACTGAAGCCTCACGCTTCTGCTTCACACCGCCAGGGATGTAACCATTGCCCTGAACCCAGTTCGAGACGACTGAGCCCCCGGCCAGGATAGTATTCCCGGTAATTCCAGCAACAGCAACCTTAGAACCGCTGAAATCCACGTTGTCGAGGATCAAAACACCTCCGCCAATGGGAATGCTCGTCTCGGTAAAAGCGGTAACAACGCCGGTGGGTGTGTTCGTAAGTTGACTGTCCAGGATCAAGACAGAGCCGACAGTCTGGTTCTGCGGAGCGTTGGACATGTTCAGACCGACTTGGCAGTTGTTGATGGAAAGTGACTTGAAAGTCCAGGCCCAGTTCCAATTCATGAAGACGGCTGTGTTGCAATCATTGAAGGTCAAGTTTCGGGTAGTGAATTGCTGGTTTCCGACAAACATGCCGTAGTTACCACCGTTGAAAGTCAAGTCCGACATGAAACCACCAGATCCGTTATCCATGAAGATACCCTGTTGCTTGTTTGTGTCGCCGCCGCCCTTAACCATTTCGAATCTGATATTCTGCAAACTGGTTGCCTGGCCCACCTGCCAGTGGATACCTGCACCAGAGCCCTGAGGCATAGCAGTCAGATCGACTACAATGTTACGAATGGCACGGAAAAAATTGTTCTGGTTGGTGTACCAGTTGCTGCCGTCATCATTATAAGGATCCGCATCAATCACTGCCATACCTGTAAAGCCCGCAGCTGCCTTGATTACAGGTAGGTTGGCAGCGTCTCCAACGATTTGGGTGTAGTAATACTGAATGATTGGCTTAGAGACGACATAAGTACCGGGAGGGAAGTATACGAGGGCAGGAGTGACGGTTGATGAATCACAGCCCTTGCCACATCGGTTCCCTGACGAAATCGCCTGGTTGATAGCAGCGGTATCATCCGTCGACCCATCACCTAGTTGCAGTTAGCATATGGGACTTTCGTGCACCGTGAGGACCCATACCCTTAGCACCAAAATCTTTCACATTACGATATACCTGATAATCTGTGCCATTTCCAAAAGCAACAGCACCCTGCCGCTTGATAGTTCCAACCCAGTATTCAGACGCCGCCCTGGCAGCCAAATTCGTCGTGATATCCGTATCTTGACCTAAAGGCACGGCATCGACTAGCGCAGCGGGCAATCCCAGAAGTAGCAGAATATGTGCGAGGAACAACATGATAGTTGTGTGTAGAGAAGCCATCTTCGAGATGACTCGGAGATCGCTGGACCAGCAGAGATCTCACTGAATGAGCGGAACAGGCGCAATATCAAGTCAACCTTCAGTAGCCGGTACTGAAGCTATGCTGATCGGCTGATCACCAACCACAATTTGATACCAACAAGCGTGATGAACTTCCGTCACCCGACACTGTCAGAAGTTGTATATGGTCAAATGGATGAGAATCTCTTGGAAGATGTCAGGGAACAAAAGAATGCGTTCGTGTTCTCCCTGGTAGCAATACTCTCGTTTGCGGAAGTATATCAATGAATGATTGACAAAAGAGTGAACAAACAAACAGAACAATAAAGATACACAAAGCACCGGGTAAAGACGCGGCCGGACGTCAAAGGAGTGAGTGAATGGATGGATGGCCTTGACAGCGATGGACCAGGTCGAATACTTATTGTGCCAGGTCAGGCCTCGCCCTGAATGGATACGGTAAATACGGCAGTCGACCACCACTGGATCAGGTATTGTTGTGAAATAACCTTTTCGGGTTTGATGATCGGTAATCTTCAGCCAATCGCCAGTCCACTCTGACTGCTGATCCACCCCCTGTGACCAATGACCACGACTGATCACCACGCACCAACCGAGGCTTGAAACACTTCGGTCAGGGGATGAAACGACTGATGGTGGACTACTTGTCGTTAGCCATGCATGATTCGACTACAAATTCCCTAAGGCACGCGGTCAATAGATTAAAAGGAATGCATGGGAACCATACCAAGTGGGAACCAGCCAGAATTCTTGAAGGAACGATGGTGTGAAAACGCAAGATGCAACAAGGATCGCTTCCGAATAGGAAACTGGGTAACAGAGAAGTGTACAGCGCTTTAAGGAATGACCCCCTCAATAGGTGCACAGAATACAGATATACACCCTGACCCAAAGACAAGCCAAAGGAGGAGCAGAAAGACAGAATGCAATAGGGAAAGAGAGAGGGCCTTGGACAACCATTCTGGAGATTGAAGAGGCTATATATCACTACAATGGTGAGCCAAGGCCTTGATCAACATTTCGTTGTGGCCAGATTCCTGTCGAACGTGTCTCAACTATGTACGCGAGCTTTTTCTTTTCTTTTCTTTTCGTCTGTGGCCAACGCCTTGTTTTGCTTTTTTCTGGCTGTTTACTTCAGCCCTTCCCAGAGATTGACAAGAGCTCTCCGAGAATGATCAAAATATGCGGGTTCCTATTCGCCATCTAAACAAGAGACCGCGTGGTAGTGTTTCTCTCTGGAATCCTCTATGGAGCTGTTTTGGGAGGGATTCGCAACGACTGGTATGGATCAGACGCCGTACAGCTCCACTGACTACTCGATCGGGTAGAGGAAATGTGCAGACTGCCGCGCTAGTAGTACGCAGGACATTAACCCTAAAGCCATTGCCATTGATGACTGTACTAGTAGTTGGGTCATGGTAACCAGCATGTATGCGCCTACATTCCTCGGACCATCGATGTCAACAAAGCGCCACACCAGGGTACCCATAACTGGGCTTGTCACACCACGAGACATTGTATGTACATCCTTTTATCTTCAGATATAACTACGTAGCGTCTACACGACGATAGTGCCACTTGTTTCGATGAAGATTTTGGCCCCTGGCCTTTAATCCGCGCGCAAAGTCGACACCAATGTGCCGACAGGAGCAGTAGCCTCGACGCGTATGGGGAGAATACATGACCCACTTGGTTATCCAGGGGATGTTGTGCACTTGTGATACGGTACAGTCAGTAACTCTACTATTTATATACTAGTTTGCAAGAGCCAAGCTTTAATGAGCTCCCGCGATGCCGCGACCAACGATTCCACCACAGGCACTATCTACCCGCGGAGCTTTTCACCAATGAGTTCCACAGGAAGCGATGCTGCCGCAAGATTGGATTTATTGAACTTTAATACTTAGTAAAATCAACACGTAATTTCCCGCCAAATCTCCCTGGACTGCCCCTGCCCAGTGTTTGGTCCAAGACATTAAGTATGGAAAGGGCCCAAAACGCAAGATGAGACTTCCAAGAAAATTGTTGGCGTCAAGAATGCGCAGTAAAAACCCTGAATGCGGGACGAAGAATGCGGATCTATCCCCTTGACTAACATACTCTGGCTTCGAATGTCCACAGTTTGACTCAGTAATTCGGTTTACGAAATCTTTACTTCGATTCTACTTGCCTCTACAGACGTATACCTATAATATACAACCCATATCGTAAAAACAGCTGCACCTGCACCAGTCACCCGCACCTTTGCATCGGCCGACTCGCTTAATTTGCTGCACTCCGCAGTGTCACCCTGGAGCCATCGGTTGCATCACAATCCAAGAGTCACTTGACGCCTGGCGCCTGGCGATACCCCAAGAAATCTATCTTCACTTGCTAATTGGCACAACCCCCTTCTTGGCACCAATGACTGCTACGCAACCACATCAAATACCCAAAAGATGTCTGCCCAAGGGCCGGGGCGGATCGATCCGCCGTCCACCCTTGGTTGTTGCGACCCTGGAATATCTAGAAAATTTTCGCTCGCACTACTTCGTGATCCTATGACGGAGAGCTTATTTAAGTGCGGAGCGTATAGCACATGCAAGTCGACGCACCCCTTCCGCTAACTTCTCCTCATGGTCCCAGGCGAAACAGAGACGTATGCCTCGGTCAAAACTATTCTTGCTAGTGTCGGGGTCGCCTTGAACACGGAATCGATTACCAGCAATAACATTCACCTTATACTCTTGAAGCGCTACGGTCGCAATAGCATCCGCCTGTAGTGGTGGGGGCAGCTGGATCCAGACAAAGTATCCTCCCACAATTTCTGGCGATGTGGACGGAAGTGTTACGCCAAGGGGAAGGAGGTGCTCACGGACGGCAGACATCAGGCGATAGTAGCGCTCTGCATATCTTGGTCGCAAGGCCTGGTCGACGTAGGTTTGGATGAACCCCGTGGGAAACAGCTGAGCTATGATGGCAGCCGAAAACTGCGATGGGGCGCCTCCTGACCGTGATGAGCCTCTGTTGTCCATCAGCTGTTAATGGTGTCATTCACCCCAAAGGGAGGTTTAACACATACGTTTGCGATAGACCATAGGCAAATTGTCCAGTGGCCTCTGCCCATCCAGTCCTTACACCAGGGCCGATTAGCTTGCTAAAGCTTCCATTACTTACCACGTTGCCCCACTCATCCTTCGGGCCACCGTCAAGGTAGCGATCCACGTCCACTACACGGGGGACCTGAGCCTTGTCGGGCTGTGCTAGTGGTTTTTCTGGATCAGGTGACCATTGCAGAAAATCATAGACGTCATCTGTCACAATAAGAGCATCAAACTCTCGCGCAAGGCGGACCAAGCCCTCCCGATCTGCCAACGACATTGTCAGGGTTGTGGGGTTGGAAAATGTGGGCGTGGCGTAGATAAGATGTTTATAAACTTTGGCCCATGGTGTCGGTAGTTTGTATTTCTTTTAAGCATTAGCCTTATTACTCCGTACTCAGAAGACATACGAATATGGTTCATCAACGTGAGAAATCAGGTATGATTGTAGACATGCGCCCTGAATCCCTCGAGAAGACTGTCATACCGGTTCAAGACGCTGCTCAGCTTGAGCCTTCTCCTCGGCCTGAACCAATTTTTGACGGAGAAATGTAAGATCCAGACCTGACTCATCATGAGGTACCGCTCTCAAGCGGCCAGCAAACCCGGCGTCGTCCATTATCCGACATGCTAAGAAATAGGTGGGGGCCACCATCCAGACATTTCTAGTATACGAGGGATCCGTGAAGACTTGAAAGATACAAGCCAGGTTTTGACTGGCACCGCCCGTTATACAGATGCGCTCGGCAGAGATAGGATGACGGGGTTGGTAGAAAGCCGTCAACCATTGGGCAAGGTGTTCTCGCAACGGTTGGTAGCCCTCATCGGGGCCATACATCAAAGCCGGAACTCGGATGGTTGGTGAAGCCAGGACTGTGGCGGAGGCCTCAGCTAAGGCATCTGTGGGCAGCAAGGCGGGGTTCGGCCAGCCACGAAACAGGTTGACCTCTTCTGGAGATTCCATGGTGTATGGGTATCTGACAGCAGTGAATGTGGGTAATAAAGTAACAATCTAATCTCTCTGGGGCCTATCAATGACAATCATGTGTGCCACGGTGGTAATCAAGTTTGTTTTCACCCTTGGTACAATCAATGAGATTCCTCAATTTTGCATACAATTATATATCACTGTCCACCACGTCAGCAGCACTGCCTTATTCCGTTTGTTGGAGTTGAAGATTGTGGCTCGTGCATTCGCTCTTCATTTCCTAGTAATATTCGGCTTACTCCGACGATGCAACAGCGAAGGTCGACTCGGGTACCGGAATGTCCATCAATGAGAGATGTGAGGATGGGCAAAATTGCGACGTGACGGTATACGAACGCCAAGACACAGGTCCCAGATGATAGTAGAAGGCGGTGATGTAAATCCTCAGTCCTCTCCAAATAGTACTTATTGGTCACCACCAAGATCGGGACCAGATGGCTCGTTGTACTGGTATTTACCAGGAGTATAATTTGACTTACAGCGTACGAAAGTAGATTGCAAGAGAGACTTGTCATTTACATTACAAGTTTAGCTGAAGCGGATGTGCCCTGGAAAATATAAAAGTTCTGAAAGTGACACGTCAAGCCTTGTTTCTCCAATCGGTTGCTCATGTACAGAATGATGCTCAATTAATATGGGCCATGGAAGGAGGAAGTACCTACGTAGTAGTCATACGTATGTATAGTACGCGGTACCATAGGCCCGCTGCTATTCTTAGCGTGCGCCTCCTCCAGTTCTTTTCAAACAACAGTTTTCTGTTTGGGTATTACCGGGTAAATTACCAACATTTCCCCCAGAATTGACGGAGTCAAGAGAAGGTTTAGAGCATTGTTTTTCCACATACTCCGTACATTCATCGGATTGACACTTAATAACTTAGTCATCTAAATGAAGGTGGAAAGGGAGTCGGCGGTTGTGGGTTGGAATTCTGTCCGAAATGCAGCCTGGGAACAAACCTAGTACTAGTGGTAGGATCTGGATTTTGGAGGGGCGAAAAAAGGCAAAGAAAAAAAAAAGTTATGCTCAGTTCGGAATGCCCCTGGATAGAAAAGCATATCCACCTGTCAGCGTCAGCAGTCTTGATTGTGCAGTGCTCTATATTAACATGATGATAAATAATTATACTGCTGGTGTAAGTGTCAGAAGATGTACACAATGGAATGTTTATAAGGAGATAAATAATAAATGCATTATATATTTTGAAGCTATTTTATTCTCGAAACACAATGTCCGAGCCAGGAACCACTTGGAAATATTAATTTATTACTTCGTCACTATTGAATGATCCATAGACAACAGACCCGGGGTTCTGGATCTCGATGGAAGATTCCGAAGAGCTCCGGAGGACCAGGAGAGCGTTTTGACAGGGGTTATATTACCAACTAGCCCGCTTAGAGGAGTACTTTGAGTGCTCAGTTCGGCTACAATTCTTGAGGCTGTATATATATTGATGCCTGGTATTATTGGCATGGTAGGGAGGTAAGGGAAAAAAAAAAAAAAAAAAAAGAGGAAAGAATAAGAGAGTTCACTAAACCAGTTATAGAAAAAGAAACAAGATGACCTATGGATAGAAAGGAAAAAAGGCATCGACCAACGGTAGGTTATTATCCTCAAAGAATGCACAGCAGTAATAATTCTGCCTTGGGAGGACAATATCTACTCACTAACAGATGATGATGATGCCATCCTTGAGCCTCCTGAACCAGGAAAAAAGCACAGCCTCTCCCGACTTCCCCCCCAGCCCACTTCCTTCAACCGGTTTGGATGGCAGACAAGAGTGATACAGGTCTTTTACTCCGTAGTACTCCGTTCTCTGTAAGAAAAAAGCTCTAGAAAGGTAGTAGAAGTAAAAAAAGTGAAAAAAAATGGACCCGCTTATTAAAATTTATCAAAAGGTTGAACAAACAGTTCAAATACACTGATAATAATAGAAACTGTAAGAGTGAATTCTCATGATCATATACACAGAGAGTATGTATATAACAAGAAGAATCAAAGGGGAAGAGGGACTGAGAATGTTCTGGGGTAAGAAAAATTCCAACCAAGTTTAAAGAAAAAGAATAATTTTGTCTTTTCCTCACTCCTCTCGGTTGTACATGTGTTTGATTCTTTACACCTTAATACCTCACTTTCCATGGTTCTCATTCGATCTCGAAAGTAAATTTTCTTACCCTTTCTAACCATTGATTATTTTTTTCTTTTTTCTGCCCATACCGTGGCTCCACCCATGGTTAAAAATACACCTAAAATCCGTATCCCAAACCCATTTCATAACAAAATCACATAATAATAAATACACCACCATTATTTCTCCAGAGGAACTTTTTGGATCGTTTTGCTCTGTCAAGTCTCAGGGTGGCCCCCCCCAATCCCCTTCTCTCAGTCATATTCCGTACCCCTTCCCAACCCTTGTCATCATAACTTTTCTCTCATCATTCTTCGGATCCCTCCTGCCGATCCATTCCCTTCGCTATCCAACCAACGAGGGAACATTCACCACCTGACTGATTCCCCGCTGGGAATTCTTTGCCTTAACACGACCCAGACGGCTTTACGCATGGTTGGCCTTCAGCAGCATTCCTTTTTACCTCACTGTTTCGTGACTGTGTTGCGCACCTTTTGATTGCGTGCGCCCGCCACTGGGTTTCGAGTTAAGCTGTCGAATCGTTCCTTGGACTCACTGTCGCGCTTTCTTTCCTTTGTTCAAAGCCAACAGCCGTAAAGATGCTGTCAGCTCCGGTGAAGTCGGCCAAGCGTATATCATCGCTTTTTTCCTTGGGGTCCAGCAAAGAGGCATCGATTCCCTCGTCGCCTGGTTCTCCCGGAGCCCCAAAGGCTTCCCCCGATCAACAGACTCAAGATGGCCGTTATCGAAGCAGCTCGCGATCGGCTCGTTTAGCATCTAATCCAATTAGTGTTGACTATTCGGAATCCCGAACGCCTATATCGCCAGTCCCGAATGATAATTTTGACTTGGATGCCCCTCTTCCGCCACCCCCCTCACTTCTCGCCGTGAACCAGGATCTAGCCGGAAGCGCGCCCGGCTCGCCAGACTCGAGACCCCAAAGTAGAGGCCGCATAGCGAGTGGAAGCAGGCCTTCTAGCTCTGCGGGCCTCTTCGTTCCCGGAACTGGCCCTGATTCACGTCCCGGAACTCCTTCGAAGAGAAGGAGCTGGATTCCCGGACGGGTCCGGGCAAGCTCAGTAGACACTAGAACGGCACCCACGAGTCCTTCTTTACCCAGCGCTTGGATTGCTGGGTTAGACCAAAAAATCCTATATGATCTGGAGCCTCTATCCAGAGGGGAGCAGGTACGTAACATGTTATGGAATTTTGTACCCTCTTATGTCAACAAAATTTGGGGTGTTTAGAACTAACTAACCCCGGAATCCAATAGATTCATGAGCTGTGGAACGAGAATGGCGACACCTACGTCTATCTCTTCCCGCAGAATACAGGCAGACCCGCTTCCTTCAGAGTCGATTCGACCGTCTTTGCCGAATCACCATCCCTGAATTTCCTAGCCCGGGGGACCGACCCCCGGACCCCCGGATCCATCGAACAGCAAACTCGCAATCTATCACTGGCATCCCCGGTCACGGGTCCTGCGTCACCACCCCTGACTCCCCAAGACCGATTGCCGGACAATGACAATGACAATGACAATGACAATGACAGCACCGGTAGTAGGAGGATGGCCTTCGTGGAAGATGACGGGCAGGACGACATACAGGAACTTCATCTCTACCTGCCTATCCCCCTGAACAGCGACGTTTCTAGCCCTAATAGCCGCATTTCACAAGAGGACACGGAAGCTCTGCTATTATTCCGTAATCTCTTTGCTTTCCTATTAGGACAGTCGCTAATTGCAACGCCTCGCTCCCCTTCGCTTTTCGCTATCTTTATGGATGTCGCCACATTACTCTCTCGATTCGAATTTACTAACTTCGACGGTTCCAACTTCGGCGAAACCGCAACCACGAGCTTCGGCAATTATTGTGACGAATTACACCTGGCAGATGTTCGCAAAAGCCGAGAGAAGACGATTGAAGCGATTGTTCTGGGAGAGCGTCTGCGTTTCTTCCCGCTGTATCTTGAAGGCTTCGTGCATGGTGTAGGTAAACTGGATGAACTAAAGCAGCTGAGAAGTCCCAAGTTCGGTCTTATCAGCGCTGCAACCCAAAAGCGGCTGGAAAGAGGCTTCATCGATTTGGATACGCGTCTTCGAGTTCTTTACGGCAAGCTCAATGACTTCGATTTCCCTTCTGCATTTGCCGGTGCTGCCAATTCGACCACGTCTGCCGAAAGCAAGGTGGTCCGCTTTAAAGCCTGGAGGGCAGCGTTCATGGATATGCGACGTCATACCATCCAGTATTACCGACAGAGATATGGCTCCTGGCCTCCTAAAGCACGGTCCAAGAAAAACCAGTTTGAAGAGAACGGTCTCAATCGCCGGGTCTTGATGGAGCTATATAATGACTTCGCTAACCTCTACGATATGCTGGTTGACCGGTCTTCCCTCACTACCCGAACTGTAGATATGGGTGCCGAGGAGGTAGCAGAAACCGATGACCTCAACACAATGACAAACAGGGCACTCCGGCAGGTCTTGAGCGAGTATGATAGAAGCACACCGCCCGTCCAGCCTCCAATTCCTTTCGATATCCCGCAGTTCCCCTCTCTGCAACCGCTACAGCGCAAGCCTATGGATGCCAAGAAGGAGGCCAAAAAGAACGCAAAAAAGCTCAAGGATGCCGATATCAATGCTGTCCTGATGGGCTCCTACACCCGTGAGAGTCTCAAGCCGACGCCATTCATCGAGTCATTCATGCAATTTGAGCGGCGGTGTGGCCATGGGAAGACCATCAACGACCTTATAGATCTTCGATGTGGCCAATGGATTTTCCTGTACTGTGTCATCCAGTCCCTTCCCCTGCTCGTGGTGGATGTGCAGGATGTCAAGTACACGGATGGAGTCGAGTACTTCTGCTGTATCGCCCCTCGGGGTGGTGCTCCTTGGATTCAGAATGATGGTAAAGTGGCACGGAGTTGGTTTGGCGTGGCAGGCGGGGCCGGTGTCGTCAGTCTCCCGTCCGATGTAGTCATCAATGGCGTGGAGGGCATCTATCGGCGTAGTCACTGTTGGCAGGTTGCTGAGCAATGGGCGGAGAAGGATGCCATTTTGGCTCCCCCGACGGTTGAGGATCCTTATGACAACGAGTCGTCGCTGTCTTCGCCCTACCAGGCCCAGCAATCGTCTGCAGGTTCGTCGGCAGAACATCAACAGCAACAGCCCACCCCCCTCCTGGCACCAGGAGGTAATGGCCTCACGCCTCCCCCAGTCATCCCCCGGACAAACTCTCCAGCCTTGAGAAGCCGAGCGGAACATCGACACTCAATCTACCCAGGTCTAGAAGCACTTCCGCTACCAGCTGGCGTTGCCCCGATTGACCCACCTGCCAGGCCCATCAGCAGGTTCAATCCTAACATGAGTTTTGATGACATTTTGAAACAGGTCCCAAACCAGAAAGGGAAAAAATAAAGACTATGAACTAGTGTGTACAATGTCTGGTTGAGGCCCTTTTCATGACAGGGACACGGGTTCTACCCTTTTCTCTTTCTTTTTCCTCCCTCCGCCTCTCTCCCTTTTTCTCTTACCTCAAAATCTCTTTTCTTTTCTTCCTCTTCTCACATCAAGGCCACGGAACTCCCCCCCTTATCTTGCATTATTAACTGCGTGCCTTTTCAGCTTTCGTGTCTTTTCCTCGACGCCATCGGCTCTTAATACTTCATCCTCTTCCCCTCTTGTTCGTATTTAACGTCGGTTATTGACCGTTATGGGCGCACATAAATCTATTTGGACCACAAGGCTGGAATGGCGTAATTACAAATCTATCTGAATCCCAGGCCTGGAATTGAAAGAGAAGATGGGTGCTTCACTTTGACTATAGCGTGCATTAAACAGAATGGCAAGATTGCCATGGTTTTGAAGAGATCTGTCTTAGCACTGCGTTCCTTCATACCTCCTGTCGTACTCACCATGCAAGCATATAAACCTTGCTTCTCTTCTCTTTACGTTCCCTTTTTTTTCCCTCTCCCTTTTTCTATTTTGGCGAATTCCCTTGGAATTCTTCTCTCGACCTGAAAACGGTCTGATTTGATGTTATTTACTATGAGCCTGATAGAGATAATGGTCCGTGTTGGACTGGTAATATAATAAAACCCTCCTTTTTTTGGGGATTACGCAACTCTTTCTCTTTCTCTCTCCGTCTCTCTTTCGCCTCTTTTTTTTTTTTTTTTTTTTTTTTTTTTTTTTTTAGAAGCGGGGGAGGCTTTTATACTCCCAAAAATCTAACTATTACCCTCAATACCCTAATTTACTATATCTTTTAAAAGAGGATCACACGGTTCGCTGATCCCTTCTCGCTGAGGTTATCTACACGAGATCATTCCTAGCCATTTTATCTAAATTCTTACGATGCAGAGAAGTACTGCTGCTAATTTGCCGATCGAAAGTCGCCTCCTCGCCAAACAGGATATCTGTCAGCGACCCGCGCTAAACCAGCCACTTCGTTTAGTGTGGAACGGCGGCTGTTGAGGGCGAGAGCACTGCAACAGCTGTAAGTAAAGGAGAATGGCGCACATTTTGTCCCATGCATCGATTTGTCAAGGACAACAAAACATAATGCAGGTATCTAGGCGGCGAAAGGGGGTGGGGGGATGGGGAATAAGAATTGAGAAAGGGAAAATGGGAATTGCTCAGACCCTGGCAGAATAGTGGCCGTTATCGTGGATCGGCCTCAAAACCTGCAGCTAAATGAGCTACCTCATGTCCGGGCCAATGCTTAAATGATCGACTTCGTATTGGTTTCCTGTGTGGTAATTACGCTAAAAACACACTTTCCCGCGATTTTTGCGGTCAGAATCGCCATTTTCTCCGCCTCAGATTCGATGCGCGTTCACTCGTGTCCAAAGCTGCACCGACCGATGGAATGCGGTAGCAGCATCCGCTCAAAGCCTTGACCATGTCCAGGTCACGATCTAGCATTGCTAGTGACGGTAGTGATCGCCTGGAACCGCGTTTATTACGAGCGGTCGAAAACGACAGTGTCGAGGCGCTGAGGCACATTATCGAGTTGGCCCATGAGAATGGCCAGTACAGCGACAACTTTCTACGAGTTGGGCTTATGCGAAGTTGCGAGCGCGGATGCATTGCCGCAACACAGTATTTGCTAGACTTATTATGTGTGAATCTGAAGGATGGAAATGATCGGCCCTCTCCACTCGCCGCGAAGAATCGACCATCACCGCTATTACGCGCTGTTGAGCGGAATCACGTCCGAATAGTGCAGCTGCTGCTTGATTATGGCGCGCCGTTAGAGACAACGGATAAGGATGGTCGGACGGCGTTGATGACAGCTGCCTGGAAGAACCATTGGCATGTACTACAAATCCTAATCGCACGAGACGCAAACGTCAACGCGAAAGATCACAGGAAAAGGAATGTGCTGCATAACCTGGCAGCAGATAAGCACTGCAACTGGGGTGAAGATGTGATTGCACTTTTGTTGAAGACAGCTTGCAAGATCGACGGTGAAGCCGGCCAGGATGAGTTGGGTCGAACTCCACTGCACTGGGCCTGCGCGACGGGGAAGTTGCGCTTCGCAGAGATGCTTTTGACAAGACCACATGGGCCGATTGCGAACGTGAATGCGATCGAGTTCAGGAATAAAAGTGCGCTCCATATCGCAATCGCTCACGATTGGGACGATATTGTGCATCTTCTACTCCGACACGGTGCAGATATTGACTGCAGAAGTGATGGCGGCTGGACTCCGCTGCATAATGCGTGTGATAAGGGCGCTAAGGAGATTGTGCGCATTCTGTTGCGCGCTGGGGCCAAGATCAACAGCCAACTTTTGAATGGTGTCACACCACTACATTTGGCAGCCCAAGCAGGACACACCGAGGTCGTCCAATGTCTCCTAGAGCATCCGGATTTGAAGCGGAGGATCCGTGATAACTTTGGCTGCACGCCATTCTTGCGAGCAGCACAGTTCAAGCGCAAAGACATTGTGTTGCTTCTTGCACCATACAATAATGTAGATGCACTTTCGCCGGATGCGCGGGGCGCTTGCGAAGGCTTCGAGGCGACAGTGGTCGACTTTGGAAACTTTCGCAACGAGAATAGGGTGAGAAAAACATCAGTTTATAACTTATTATACGGGCGAGACCCCGAGAATCCACACAAACAAGCTTTTACTACTGTTCCCACGGATAGTAAAGTCACCGACTTCAGGTGGATTCATCTTCCCGCAAACAACATGGCTTGGGTCGAGGGGCTACTCACCAAGAATTTCATCGAGGAGGGCGCGCACGACATCGATAGCTTCAAGGGCCTTGAGAGGTCGTTCCACTACCAACACCGAGGTCAAAGAACGCATTCCCACTTTATGCGACCAATGTGTCAACGCACGCAACGAAAGCAACGGTTTCAAGAAGAAAATGAAGAAAGCCCAGATCAGAACTTGAAGGTTGAGAACAAGCTCCCTCAGATTGTCATAAATGGGCGCCTCCAAGAGCCACCGAAAAGTTCGGCAAACGGCGGTAGCAATAAAGCAAAAAAGCAGAAGACACAGGGAGGAAAGTCAGAACGGGCCGACTCTGATGATACCTCGAATAGCTCGCACGGGAAAAAAGCGAAGAACCACACCAAACGCGGTAAATCCAAGGGTGAATTGGTGCAAAAGTCTAAGAATGACGAGCAACTTCGACATCCACTTTCTCTCTGCAAAGACAGCGGACATTCTACCACCAGCAATGTGTGCGTGTTCATGCCATATCTTCACTTCGAAACGGCTGAAAGGAGGCTGAAAATGCAAGAAGCAATACAACGAGCTGAGACGCTTAATCTTCAACCTGGACTCTCTCGTTCCCCTACACGAGATGAGATGCTTATCCGCGCACACCTGGCATCTTCCACAGCTTCGCTTCATGTCCGACGAACACTGGACCAGTTTTTCTACCCTAACATCGATACTCAGACCCGAGATCAGGACCAGGTTGTGTATCGCTATCAGACCAAGGGGCAAGGACGCGAGCGATACGGAACGGAACCCAAGATTTTCATGGTGGACCAACTGTGGATGTGGATCATGGGAACGGATCTGATCGTCACCTGCTTCGCACAACGATGGGAACAACCAAAAAATGACCCGCTAAACGTTCTAGACGGTATCATCGAGGACATAAACTCTAAGACTCGAGAACCGGTTCGTTCCGTATATGATTTGGCTAGCATCATCACTAATCGTTGTTCGGGTGTCTTTGACCGCCACCGTATGGGTGACGACGAGTACCAGTTCTTGGACATGTTTGAGTCCTCAATTGGCATCGCAACGGACCGCGAGACACTGCTTTTTAATCAGTTCAACCGCGCATCAGCCCAGGCTTCGGACTGGCTCAAGAACCATCGCAAGTTGAGTCGTTTTGCTCGGAACTCGCAGTCAAAAAAGGATGTCACCCACCGTGACGGCGATAAACAGTTTGAAGAAGACGAAGATGAAGTGCCCCTATTCGTGGATAATCTCCTCGATATTGGACAGGAGATCGACCTTCTCGCGGAGGCTAAGGATATCCGTGACGAACTCAATATGATTCGCACCGTCCTACAATACCAGCAGGATGTCTTACTTGACTTCCAAGACGTCATCCTTGGGATTTACCAGGTACAGCATCGATCACAGTACGACATCAAGAGGCGATTCAAGGAACAGCAGCGCACGATCGATATGCACCTTAAGGACATCGAGCGGATGGACAAGCAAGCGGAGCGTATATATTCATCCATCACGGATTTGCTAGATCTAAAGCAAAAACACGCAAACGCTTTTGAGGCCCGATTCGCTCGAGACCAAGCTGCTGGCACAACCCGCCAGGGCAAGATTATGATGGTGTTTACTATCGTAACAACTGTCTTTCTACCCCTGTCATTCATCGCAACCTTTTTTACGATGAATCTCGAAGAGTTTCCCCACAGCGCAGACGGATCGGAACAACTCCCACTCTCATACGTCGCAGAATACACATTTGGCATTGGGGTCGCCATTTCTATCCCACTTATTCTCCTTGCCCTAACTGTAGATGATATCGGCGATGGATGCCAGGAAGCCATCCGGCGGACCCGCCGGTGGATGTTTCATAGAAAGAAGAAACCTCGTGGGTGGTCCGCGATCGAAGAGCCAAGGCCGACAACAGCATTAGGATTGGACAAGGTCCTTAGTGGGACAAAGTCCCGGAGAAGTGTTGATACTGAATTGGCTGGAAGCTTGCTACCTATCTCTACTAGAGAAACCGTTCGTTCTTTGGGTAAAAGAAGCATACATTTGAGGCGGGACGAGGTACTTTGATGATTTTATGAAAGACAGAGATATAGATATGATGTATATTATGAGATTAGTCCATACTTTCTGTACTAGTATTGATGCCCCGTCACATGACAGTTACCTACTTCCTTCCCTCAACTTCTGTCTCTATGCCTTCCATCTATCTTATCTCACATGCCCTCCCACTCACACTTCGGAGTTCTGCAGTCTTATCGCCCAAATTCGCATGTGGATCCGGATGTCCGACTTCAGAAACTCGGGATCTCGACGATCCGCACCCGTCGGGTTCCGCGGGGATCTCGATTCCCTCCCGATCTGGTCCACAGTACAGAACTCTGCTGGAGGAATTCTTCACGAATATTTGGTTCCACCAGAGGAGCTTATTTCTTCCTAGGAGGCTGTGTGCAATGCCTAGATCTCCCGAAACCTCCCAGATTTATGCTAGCACGTGCGCTGTTGCGGAGCTCCCTCGGGGGGATTCGGGCGCAGAAGCTCTCCGTGAGTCAGTGACCTCTTCCTTTCCTCGCCGGTGGATCAATTGACTACCTCCGGTGAGATGGAAGCAGGATAGAAGCCTCGAAATCTCGCGGAGTCGTGAAGTTATCGTCGTTGAAGTGGACATTGATGTACTCCGATTCATTCCACCGCCTTAACTTTGTTTCCATGCGCCGAGGAGATGAGGTCATCATGTGTTCAGAACCAGAGACTCACTGTCGTTTTGCTTTGTTAATCCATTCGGTCGTTGAACCTTAAACAACTACATAATAAGCTCCTCGATCGAAATGTCAGTCTGCAATTCCACTTGGGAGGCTGGTTCTTAAATCTGTATACTGGAGATGAGGTCGGTGTTTGTGAATAGCCCCGTCCGTCTCGGACGGATATCACGGCCTTTGCTATCAAGTACATACCGAGTGAGTCACTCGAGCTTTTTACAGTGTACACGATGCCTGGTCACGCAAGTTGATCATTCGGCCGCAATTCCTGAATCCGACAGTGGGAAGGAAAGAGTGGTCATTCTTGGATCCGGTTGGGGAGGGTATACCCTCTCCCGAAAATTGTCGCCAAAGTCGTTCGCGCCGGTCGTTATCTCCCCTCGTTCATACTTTGTCTTTACCCCTCTTCTGACTGACGCTGCTGGCGGGTCGCTGGATTTCTCAAACATCGTCGAGCCAGTTCGGGATCCTCACGCTAAGGTCGATTTCATCCAGGCCGCTGCACGAGCTGTCAACCTGGAAAAGAAGACTGTTCTTTGTGAGTCAACCGTGGTCACGAGCGGCGTTACAGAGACACCGCGGACACACGAGCATGAAAGGGAGTCTGAAGAAGGCCCGGAGACCACCTCAATGAGACCCATGCAAGAGGCACGCAGGTGGGAGAAGGGAGATTTCTTCGAGGTTCCCTATGACAAACTAGTCATCTCCGTTGGTGCAGTCAGCAAAACTTTCAATACCCCCGGAGTGAGACATAATGCTATGTTCTTCAAGGATATTGGTGACGCGCGACGCGTGAGACGTCGGGTACGAGAATGCTTCGAGCTGGCAGTGCTACCGACCACGACTCCAGAGATGCGGAAATGGCTGCTACATTTCGCTATTGTTGGTGCTGGACCGACAGGAACTGAGCTGGCGGCATCCCTCCGTGACTTCATTTACAAGGATATGACGATACTATATCCTGCCCTGAAAGATCTCCCCCGCATCACCCTTTATGATGTTGCACCGAAGGTGCTATCTATGTTCGACGAATCACTATCAAAGTACGCCATGGAAACCATGAAGAAAGAAGGCATCGACATCAAGACCTCGCACCACGTAGAAGGACTTCGCTGGGGTGAGCCAGGAGCCGAGCCTCCGTACGAAATGGACCCCAAACGCTGTCTCACAATCACTACCAAAGAAGAAGGCGAGGTAGGCATCGGAATGTGCGTTTGGGTAACCGGAAACGCAATGAACAAGTTCGTCAACAAAGCTCTCCAGGACGTGGAAACATTCCCCACCGCATCAGCCCTGTTGAAAGACGGCACTCAACCTCCCCCAGATCTCATAAAAGACACATCATGGCACATCAAAAAGGCACCCAAAGTGGGTGCCCTCCTCGTCGACGGACAACTCCGCGTCCAACTAGAAAATGCCGACGGAAAAACCGCCGTCCTCCAAGACGTCTTCGCTCTCGGTGATAACGCTATGCCGGAAACTGGTGCACCGCCCGCGACAGCGCAGGCGACGACCCAGGAAGCGAAGTGGCTCGCTACCAGACTGAACAACGGCGACCTCCAGAGATCCCAACCGTTCTCTTTTCATAATATGGGCACCCTGGCGTATATTGGAGATGCCAATGCGTTGATGCAATTTCCTACGGAGGATGATAAACCGCCTAAGTATTTGACGGGACGGATGGCATGGTTTGTGTGGAATTCGGCGTATTTGACTATGAGTATGAGTTGGAGGAATAAGTTGCGGATTGCATTTCGGTGGTTATTGAACAATATCTTTGGGAGGGATGTGTCAAGGTACTAACTAGCCTTGGAAGCCTTCGGTTAGAGATTTGAAAGGGATAGATTCCTCTACTTTTTTTTCTACTTCTGATTTGTTGGAAATACACCCATGGGTATATGAGAGGCTGAACCCTTGAAGCTTACATACTACACTGCCGTGGCTTCGGAGTGTTACTTATATCTTGATCACTGGGCTTACAGTTTGAATATCTAGACAAAGAAAAAGTATCACAATAAAGCAAATAATATGTATTAAGACGTACATAATCTATGAGAAGTCTGACTAGGTATTATAGGATATGTATCTTCTAGTAAAGTAGATGTAATGGTGTTCCCATCCGGCACTCAAACTCTTGATCTATTTACATAATAACAGGGAGGTTGCGAGTCAAATAGCCACGCCACTCAGGAAGAGAGCGCTGGTACTTGGTTCCAGTTGACTTCTGCAGATCCTCAATGGCACTAGCGTACTTGATCAAGGTAGGCTCCGAGAAAGCCGTGTTCATGATAGCCAGTCCGAAAGGCATGCCGGACTCCTTGCCGACGCCAGCCGGAACGGTAATCACAGGGTACCCAGCCTGGGCGGCGATCTGGATGCTCTGCGCAACATCCGGAGGCACGAGGAGGCCGTCTAGGGTTCCGTTCTTGTACTTCAGGGCGGCGTCGATTCCTTCCTCGCGGGTGGTGCGCTGGCAGAATCCGAGAGCCTGGTAGTAGGTCTCATCCATGATACCCTTGCTTTCGAGGGATGCGATCAGACCGTCCTGGCCGGAACCGAAGGCGGGGTGGATGCTTGCGTACCCACCTTCGGAGCCGTAGTTGTCGAGATAGTACTGAACGAGGTCTTCGACAGACCTGACCATGGTGTTCTCGACCTCCGACAGATAGTCCTTGAGGTTGTTGTAGAAGTCGACCTTGATGTAGCTGTATTCGGATTCGTTGGCATATCCGCGAGTCGAGCCATAGTCCCAGTTGAAGCCGTCGGGGGAGACGATGGTCTTGTAGTGGGGTAGTTCAGTGCCATTGATCACGGTGGCACCAGCCTGCTTAATCAGGTCGACCAGCTCAAGGAGCTGAGAGATTTGGTCCTCATCACCAAGGGCCCAGAAGGACTTCCAGGGGATACCGAATGTGGCGCCCTTGAGGGCGGTCTTGTTGGTGAGGAACTGCGCGTAACCGCCCTCAGGGGTCTTTCCCTTTTGGGCGAGTGTGTAGTTATCGCGAGTATCGATGCCGTAGATGGCATCAAGGGCATAGACTGCGTCACGCACTGTCTTGCCAAACGTACCAACAGTATCCTGGTGCAGAGATTCGGGAATGACGCCAGCACGGGAGGTCAAACCGACAGTAGGCTTGATGCCGACGACCGAGTTTCTCTGAGCGGGGTTGATGACACTGCCATCGGTTTCCGTTCCCAGGGCGAAGGGAATCAGATTGGCGCCAACGCCGACACCGGACCCGGAGCTGCTGCCACCAGGGTTGACAGTGAGGTTGTACGCGCTGCGGCATTGGCCTCCACGGGCCGAAAATCCCTCGGAGTAGTTGTTGGAACGCATGTCGGCCCACTCACTCAGGGCAGCCTTACCTAGGAGGAGAGCACCGGCTTTACGAAGGCCGAGAACAACATGGGAATCACGAGGCACGACGGATCCCAGAAGCGCCCAGCTGCCCGCAGTGGTTTCCAAACGATCCTTGCTAGCGATGTTATCCTTGACGATGAACGGGATGCCGTGGAGCGGGCCGCGGGTCTTTCCCTGCGCGCGTTCCTCATCAAGGGCTTTCGCTATCTTGAAAGCGTCCGGGTTGACTTGCAAGATCGCGCTGGCGGTGACGTCAGCGGGAGCACATTAAATACACGTAGAGGAAAGCCTACTTCAAATAAGGCTGGGTCTGGTAAATGCGCTCCAGATAGCATTGCAGAAGGTCAACGCTGGTGAGTTTTCCAGCCCCAAGTTGCTCCTGGATGGCGTCGATGCTGGCTTCCTCTAGCTTGAAGCCATTGCACAAACGCATGGGGAAGAGCGAGGCTCCATTGACGCCCAACATAGGGAAATCATATTCGTAGGGGTTTGTCACAATCTGAGAGGCGACCAAACTATCGTCATTGGCCGGCTCGGTGCTGGCGGCAACAGAGTTTGCCAACACCAGGCCGGTGGTCAAAAGTCGACCGAACACTTTCGAGACCATGATGGTTGCGCCGAGATGGAAAACTGATGTTTGGTAGGAACAACCACCTTAAACGGGGGAAGATCGACCTTTTTGATCAGGGGTCGATCCCACGTGAGGGGCTAAGCAATGTAGGGGGCAGAGCGTTTTTTGGCGTGTTCCGGAACTCCACGTTCATATACTCATCTGAGAAGGTCGTCGTGGACATTGACAAATTAGTTCCACCTTTGCAAGTAATAGTGTGATACTGGCAGCGATGAGAGCGAACCAGAGCAGAAACACAAGCGGCACTAATAACCACCGAAGCAGCGTGGAATATTCCCCACTCTTGGATCGGGGTGGAACTTGGTTATTGTTTTTGCGACGTTTACAATGCCGTTTTGAGATGGATCTTGATCTGATCAAATCGGGCTAGTCGGTCATGTGTCTGCCAATGCCGTGATCCTGTAACTTTAGGCGTTCAGATCGTATTTTGGGTTCATCCTGCAGGGCAGCGAAAACAGCTATCGTCGGACTTGAATGAGATTAACTTCAGGGGAAGAAAAGAGACGAACGTCGTTGGTCTCCTTATCTCCACTGCAAAAATTTTCAATGCAACGTCAGTATTCATTCATAATCCATTATATGAAAGAACTAAAGTTAATTAGCAATCAGAGTATTCGCTAGACTAGGCACCGCCGCCACCATCAGCCCATGCGATGCGCCGCTACCGACTGTCAGGCCCACGGCTTCGATACTCTGTGGATCTCGCTCGATGTCACTCGGTATCCACCGCAACCAGACTTTTAGGCGCATCGCTGGAGCTGATTTGACGAATGGTCCATTACTGGGCAATGCGAGCCATTGTCAGAACGTGGTTAAAGTTCTGTAACGGAGTCAATTTTTCTCTTATTAGTGTTTGTGTTCTTTATTCACCATGAAACAACTTTGTCTGCCTTTGTTGGAGGGACACGACACGCCTGCCTTTAAGATGGCACGCACGTCCCGCTGAGTGAGGCCCAATCCTGCCTTCTGTGGATCGTTCTCCATGGGCATTCCCGATGACATTCTCCTCGCGGATGCCGCGGGGAGGATCCCTCCTGGGATGTCGCTCGAGTACCTCGCCGAGTCGCGCGATCGTCCGGCCATTGTAGCCATCATATTCCTGGTGTGCTTCACCGGGGCGATCATGATAGTGCGTCTCTACGCACGGATATGGCTTGTCAAGAAACTCGGCCTCGACGATGCTCTGGCCATTCTCACTATGGTATGATTCCCTAGGACCAATCCTCAGATACGACGATGGAATTCGAATTGACGTTTAGTCCCGAAATAGACGATCTACATCTCTTTTGTCGTTCTGTCCCTCGTTTTGATTGATTTGGGAAGTGGTCGTCATATGGATTACATCCAGTATGTCCTGGCCATGCCCACGGTGCGTCAGACTGAGGTTCTGGATTTCGTTGCCCACGTTCTCTATACCACTGCTCTGTTCTTTTGTCGACTATCGGGTTTGGCTTTCTATCACCGCCTGGCTGCACGCTCCAGCAAACTACACCTCGCCATCAAGATCGCAGCCGGCTTCCTATTTGCCGCGTATCTTCCCCAGCTGTTTCTATTAATATTCCACTGTCGACCTGTAACCGGACTATGGCCTTACCCCTGGCAGGAAGAACCGATCAGCTACAATTGTCTAACTTGGGGTCTGGTCTATTCGGTCAACTCCGGAGTTTCATTGACCTGCGATGTGCTCATGTTTATCATCCCGACCATCCTTATCAAGGAACTCCACGTCTCGCTGAAGAGAAAGGCCCAACTCTCTCTCGTTATGTTTCCAGGTGTCCTGTAAGGCTTATCGATTCCCGCCATATCCCCCATCAGATCTAACAGGAGTGCAACAGTGTCATTATCATTTCCGCTGTCCGCGTTTACTTTGTCGCAGTGGGCCAATGGGCTGATGACGGTAGTTGGGCCTATAACCCCATGATGGCCATTGAGAATGCTGAGATTGCAGGCACCTTGACTGCGCTGTCTGTGCCGGCTTTGAAGCCAGTCTTTGGGAATATATTTACTCATCTGACCGAGTACACGCTTTCGACACGCAACCGGTCTAATATGAAAAGTCAATCGAAGCCTACATCGGGGTTAAGGTCTAGGGCTAGAGACAGTAAGCGCCTGTTATCTTGGTCCAAGCATGGTTATGAAGACTACGAGATGATGGGTTCGGAGACTAATATCCCCCCAAGTGGCCCGGTACAATCGTCGGAAGCAGGTAGCCCGGGGGGTAAAAGCATCGGAGTGACCACCGAAGTCTCGATATTCCATGGACAACAGGAGGCGGACCAGAGACATATTGTGTAAAGAAAGTAATACATACTGTACGACACTGCGAGCTATTCTTGGACATAGATTACACGGAATTAACACTCTTCAGTTTCTTTTCGTCACACTTTCGGTCTTGTTTCCTTTTCGGAATACCTCAGTAGTAAGATGGTCCTACGTATGAGTAATTTGTGACTATTCGAATTAGTATAGAGAGAAAAATATAAGGAAAAACAATAAAGTAAAATAAAATATTCAACAAAGTTTTCCAAATCGATAGTGTATCCAAAACATCATCGGGATACATAATTTAGACGTTCGTGAGAGAATTCCAGAAAAACGCGCACGCCTATTTATAGGCAAAAGTGAAAATATGCCCAAGAACCCTGAATCCCGGACACCATGTGGATCTCTTTGTAGACTCTCTCTCTCGAACTGGATGAAGCTCTATCCCTTTACAGAGTTTAACACGTGAAAATCGATATCCCAGTTTCAAGTCACGTAAAAGTTTGCCTTGTGGATCTGCGATGTCTCAAACGTGTACCCACAGCTCTTCAACCAGTGGGAACCAAAACTAAGCTATAAAAGTACATCTATGTAAACGTAAAACAAACCATGACGAAGGGTCAAAAATGGATAAACATATACGATCCAGCCTGATATATGGGAGTTGGTCCATATTCTAGGCTCATAAGACATGCCTGTCCTTCCTCCTCTTGTTGTCTTGATTCTCTGATTATTGCCTCCTCCCTGATTCTTGCCTCTCTGATTATCCACTCCTCTCTGTTTTTTTCTTTC